CCCGCCACATCGCTTCTCCCGAGCGCGTCCTTGTGCGCGCGCCATGTGAAAGGCGCCCTCCCCACTGCTCCACCCTCGGCCATCCCCCCTCTCTCTCTCCCTCCCGCACACCGTCTCTTCAATAAGCGACTCTCCCCCACCGACGGTGTGGCGCGGCGTGCCAGCTTGTCCCTAAAGCGCACCCCTCGACGCGCCCCCAGGCCGCACGCCGCGGACAGCGATCGACAGGTAAGAAATGAACCATCCCTGACCTGGCACCCTGTGCTGGTTGGCATGAGCAGCGTGTGTGCGTGATATTGTCTTTTGGAAGTTTGTCCTTCTGGTCCCACGCGAAAGGGCACTGATTTTGTCCCGGATTTTGTTCTTATGCTGTAAGGGCTACGACAGTTCGATAAAAGTTGTTTTTATTTATTTATTTGGAGTAGGAAGGGGGGTGGTGGGGGTGCAAAACCGCCTGGCGCAACTTGCGTCGACTTTTTCTCTCCCCGACATTTACTCTTTTCATGGTCGGGGAGACGTCTGCCTGCGCCTGCGGCGTACAACAGCGGAGCTGAGGGGTGGAGGGTGATGGTATCAAAAATAAACATGCAGGGAGAAAGCTTCTGCCTCCAGCACGTCGGACGGGCAACGCACGTTAAACCCCCTGCGGTTGTACGTCTGTCTGTCTGGCCGGCGGACTGTCGCTTGAACTCGCAAAGCAGAGAGGAGGGCAGGGAATGTCCCTCCTTTCCGTCCGTCACTTGCATCCCGGGATGTGTAAAGTATAAACATGAGAAACATGTGAAGCCCGTCCCTGACTCCCCACCTTTCTCGGGGTAATACTGAGCCATGACTACAACCTGCGCTTATTTGCAATCGAGAGAAACCTGCTGCTAGTGACCCGAGTGACCTTTCGTTTCTTTTCCCCTATGGTTCGAGTGCAGCAATACGCAGTTTCCACCAATCCAGGGATTTCGATTATCTCTATGCGCTGCCCTACCACCGCACTACCGGTACCTCCACTGCTCTAACCGCTGCGCACCGTCCAGTTCCACTCCCACTACCCCACCCTCCTCCTCTTTTTCATTAAAACTTCAATTCGCCGGCAGAGATTGGGTTTCGCACCGCGCGAGCCAAGCGCGACATCCTCCCATCGCTAGCCGGCCATCCCGAGCCCGAGGTTGCCTACCGGGCACCGGGCAGACCCCTCGACCACCACCAGGTCAGTGCGGGCGCGTGAGTTTTACCATCCATTACTGGTCCAGAAAGCGTGTGTGTGGTTCGCGGGTGTGCTCTCCCCTACATCGCTGCTCGCGCGCTGCGCTCGTCGTGACTCTCCCGGCAGCGCTTTGATCATCGGCCGGGGGAGCAAAAGGGAGAGAGAGGCAGCCCCACAGCAGTGGTGTGGTGTGGTGGCTTCCATTTCGCAGACTGAGTGGCGCGGGGCTGGGCGGGGCGGGGCGGGGGCCGACTGATAAACGAGTCTAGCGGAGGGAGACATGTGTTGCACAACGGCATGGGGCGCCCCGCGCCGAATAATACAGTACTACAGTGCATTTGCGTGCTCTCCCCGCTCTCCCTCCCACATCCTACTCCACGACCACTCTCCCTTCCCACCTCCCTGTCCCCCCCCCCCTTTTCCACGTCGTGCCCCGCGCAGGAGCGGAAGAGAGAACGGGAGGGAAGTTCTGTTCTGTTTATTTGCGCATCGGTCTGGAGGCCATACCGATCAAAGCAACGCAAAGCAGCGGCAGTGGCGGCAGGGACGCCCCGTTCTCCGTTCGCTTATCGGTTACCTCCCCTCTTCCCCCTTTTCCTCCCATCCTCCCTCCCCTCACCCCTCCCCTCCTCCCCCTTCACCTCCGCCTTCTCCTCCCCCTTCTTCCCCTTCTCCTTCCCTTTCTCCTCCCCCCTGTTATTGGCTGCTCCTTGCATTCAGCCATGGCGCGCCGTCTGTATGCAGTGACGCGGTCATTTCCTTTTTGACCGTTTTTGCAGAAGTGAGGGAGTTCCTTATAGAGGAGTGACTCTTTCACTGAAAACTTTTGACCAAAAAATGCTTCATCTATGTTTTGTAAAAAATCCTCTTATGTTAAAGAGCAGTACAGCATTACATTGCAAACTGAATTGCAATAAATTAAAGTTGAGGGAGATGATCAATGAAAAATTACCATTTTCGCATCGATGCGATAACTCCTTATTGCTGCAAATGTTGTAACAATGACAAGATATTTGTTTGGAAGAGTATATCTCAAACCTGAATTTTCAGTGTTTGGCTGCCAACGCGAGCTGTTTCTCAGAGGCGTTTCCCTTCCCTTCCTCGGCCTCGGCCTGTGCTCTGTGCTCCTTCCCGGAAGCTTAGTCAGCCGCACCGTACAGCGCTCGTCTGGAGTCTCTCGAACCCCTACAGGGCAGCCGTGTTTTAATAAAGTTTTGGTGGAGCACACCTTTTCTTTTACGTAAAAGAAGAATCCCCTCTCCGCGTTTGGCCGATGGTGTGAAGGCGAGGAAGGAGAGAGAGAGAGAGGGGGGGGGGTTGAGTGGCCACTCGGAGCGGTGAGCCCTCCTACAGGAAGGAAGAGAGAAAAAATAAAAGGAAAACCATCTTCACAGTTGACAAAGCAGGTAATTTATCTACCTTTCTTTTAACGATGTATTTGATATCTCATCTAAAAACCTGCGGACAAATTTTGGCAGCTCCGTAAACTGCAAAATGAATCCTCTTTCCGACACATTGCAAACCATTTAGTTTGTTATTGTCAGCATTAATGGTTCCAATAATGTTTGTTTGTGGTCTTGTAATAAGCTTGCACAGCTGCAAAAGTTGTGTACCACAAACCAAACATTCGCAACGGCAACGGTTTTCGAAGAATTTTACCGACGAGGATCAAGTCCGCCTGTTTTCTGAATGAGCATACCCGGGGGGCAAATCACTTGCGTACTAACTCGTACAATTTGATCTTGAGTGATTTCCCCCTCGATCATACCGACACAGCGAGTCTAGTCTTTGCCATCCGCAGCCCCCAGTTGGTCACTACGGAAGGGAAGCTGGTGGCTCCGGAGATGCGCTGCGCTGAGGGGGACATGCAGTGTCCTCGATGACCGGAAGGATTTCGACTCCTGACGCCACTCGGGACTATTATGCACTGGAGACAAGTTTGGAAACGAGACCTTTCACAGCGCGGCGGGTCCCGGGTGTCCGGGGGCCCGGGGCCCGGGGCGTGAGGCAGGCGGCGGGGCGGCAGTGCGGCGGAGCGGCGGGGGCCCAGACCAAGGCCGCGCGGTGCCAGCGGGTGGGGCGGGCAGGGGGCGCAGCACAACCGCAGCCTGCCCCTCGCACCCTGCACACTCCTCGCACCCCTCGCACCCCTCGCACCCCGCGCACCCCGCGCCTCCAAGGAACATTAACATCGTCGGAATCTTAATTTGAAACGGCCTTTCGGGACTTACGCTGAGCGCGAAAGGCTGTAGACCTCAACCTCCCCCACCCCCTTCTCCTGACCCCTTCTCTCCTCCTCGGTCTTCCCTTCCCCCTTTTCCTCATTCCCTTTCAAAGAGGATTATTATACGCCTTGCCAAATTACCAGACAGCCAAAAGGACCAAACCCGACCCAAATTTCGAATGCGGAAGCTTTTCAAAAGTTCCTTGATTAGCCGCATTGTTTGTGCTCCCTCTAAAGTCAAGTGCTAGTCGTGTGGTCGTTTTGTTCCAGCTGTGCTCATAAGGCAGAGCTCAACCTGAAATAACGTCACACAGCAATAGGCCATTCTAGCAAGCTGGGACGAAAAACTCAAAAAATGAAAGAGTGCCGGAAACAGAACTCGTAAACAGCCAGTTATCACTTTTGTAATATAGCCTCAAATTTTGATTTTTTTCTTCTTACCAAAACGTTATTAAAGATTGAGCTGTATCATTTTCTGGTCGTTACCACCGGCTTGTTGTGTTCTTCTTCCCGACTCGCAAGAATGGTCTTTTGATGCCGTCGCAAGTTAAAGGCGAGGGGTTTTTCACTCGAGATTTTCGTGTCATGATCAGTGTTTTACACGATATTACGCCAGGTTTTTTTACGTAAATTTGACCACTTAAGAGGTTCTTTGGCGTTTTTCGATGTATTACACGCGTAATACCTCCGCAATACCCTAATCTGGTGTACGCGGTATTACGGAAATGAAAACCTCTTCTGATGAAGGTGCTAACTAAGCTCACACTACTCGGCGCCTGCTTGACTCGCGATCATTCTGAAGCCAGTTCGCTGAACATTGCCGCCTACCGGTCGGGGGACAGGCAATCCGAGGGCACCTCCTGTGCATTGCATGCGTACCGAAGGGTTGCCAACGTGGGCGTGTGCTGGGCCCGCTTCATGCAGCCTGAGCTAACCCCGAGAGGCAGATCACTCCTGAATTGGGTGTACAAATTTCATGAATTGGATTTGGATTGAATTGGATTCGAACCGGTTGAATTATTTTTGATTTGGTTTTAATTATTGCGATTTTATTTTACTATGAATCAGCGTGACTTGGCGTAGATTGTCTTGAATCACATGTGAACTGTCTCGGATTGGACTGAATTATTGAATTATTTTTGAATTGGTTTGAATTATTTATAATTAAGAAATTTCTAAATTGTGTTGAGTTAAATAGAATTGGTTTGAATTAGTTTGAATTGGGCAGAATTAGGGGTGAACACTTATTAGCACACTGCAAACAATTATGACAGGAAAATGAAATTTGGAAACGGAGAGGAATGTACGGGGCATCCACAGTAACGCCGAAGATCGTTCCGAATAAGACTCTAATTTTTAAACAGTGCAGGGGAGTTATCCATTCCTCGGCTCACCCTGAGCTCCGGCGGTTGACTTCATATCCAACCAATTCCGATTCCACGCCACGATTTAACGCGTAATTACCACCGGGCGTTTCTTTGGATGCGCTCTAGTGTTCCGCAATTGCAAACTTGCGAGGGCCGCTGGGGCCCTCAGGGAATTGGCACAACGCTGGAACGCATTCACAGAAACATCAGGGCGCGCTCAAAGTTACATCAAACTTGGTTCGCTAAATGCACTCGTCGGAAAAGTTTTTACTCTCTCTCGCCCCCACTCCTCCGCGGGCCTCCCCTCTTAAATTTTGTAAATCAACTAACTAGCTTCTAGGAGATGCCGAGAGGAGGGATGGTATAATACGTTCACCAAACTGAGTCGTTAGTTAGTTGGCGGTTCGCGGCAGCGCGACCTCTTATAGCAGGTCCGTCCCTTGCCGCCTGCAGACGACGGGGTAGGCAACCCGTGCGCACGGCTGCGTGCCAGCCGAAGGGTTGCCTACGCGGCGGGCGCGCTGCTCCGCTGCTAGTCCGCTGGTCGGAGCAGCGGCGGGTGTCCGCGAGCAGGAAGTAGAGAGTAACGCGAGGAGGCGGAGGCTGTGCGCTGCCTGTTTATGGGGGTTCTAGTCCGGGCAGCAGCATGGAAGGCTTTGCCTCCGCTTTACTGGCCTTCAAAGCGACGGCGCGGGATGGCCGAGGCCCTTCGGCTGCCTCCCGGGCCCGGGGGTCCGGTCATTCCGCCCCTGCTATTTGGGGCTCGCGTATAACGCCTTGTCGGCAAATAATGACGGTGAAACGGGCGTGTCCCGAGGACGGGGAAGTTATGGCGGGGGCCGCGAGGCGCGGGCGGCCCGAGCCCGGCAGTCAACACATGGGGGAGGCCGTGGGGAGGCTGGGAGACCGGGGCCGGCCGCTAGGGCATGGGGGAGGCGGGAAGGCGGAGGCCGTGAGGAGGCCGAACGTAGAAGGCGAGGGCTGGGGCCGGGGCAGTCAACATCAACACCTGGGGAGGCACGCGTGCGGCTGCGGCTGCAGCCGGTCGCCCAGCAGAGTCTGTCTGAAGGATGAGCGGACAGCACGTTTACATGCGACTGGAGGCCAGGGTCGAGGCCGGAACCGGTAGCGGAGGTTTCGCGCTACTGGTGAACCCACGCATCCCCTCTACGGCGCTGCTACGCACCCCATCACAATACGGGCAGGTGTTGACGACACTGACTGTACCGATACGGGCTCTCCCCGCAGACGGTGCTGACACTCACCCTCACACGGGGCGTACACGTGACTCACCGAGGTCCATTCAGTTACCCCGGGGGTCGGGCTGTCGTCGCCGTCACCTGCGGTCAAGCCCGCCTGCTGCGGCGGGCGCACCCCGCTGTGGCGTGGTCGGGCGTGGCGGGGCGGGCGGGGCGTGGCGGGGCGCCACAGGTAAAGGGCTCGACTCGGCTGCGACGTGCGCGCGGCGCCGGCTGCGACGCGTCCTCCCGCGGCAAGGCTCGCTACGACACTGCGCTGCGCCGCCCCAACCCTGGGCAGCGTGGTGCGGCCCTGCTACCCCCTCCACGGCCGCGCCACCCCATGGACCCAGCTCCGCTCGGGCCGGAGCGAGCAGGGTGGAGGGGGTATCGCGGCTTGTCCTGCGCGGGCAAGAGCCAGGAGGGGGTGTTCTGCTACCGATTGGTAAACTTTCTGCCAGGCAAATATGAAAAGGACGTCTCGGACCAGGCAGGGAGCAGGGAATCGCACCGGGGCGCTCGCCGCTCTCGGGACGGGACCTCCCCATTCACTGCCCCGCCGCGGCCCCGCGCCCCTCGCCCGCGCCGGCCTCGCAGCGCGCCCCGCCCAGCCACCGGATCGATAGGGGGAGCGAGAGAGAGGGAGCGAGAGAGACGCAGAGGGACGGCGGGGGAGATAGAGTGCTGGCGAGAGAGACGGGGATACGTAGAGAGCCGGAGCGGCGGGTGGAGGGAGGGAGAGATGGAGATTGTGACCGAGCCACCGAGTCTGTGTGTGTGTGTGTGTGTGTGTGTGTGTGTGTGTGTGTGAGAGAGAGAGAGAGAGAGAGAGAGAGAGAGAGAGAGAGAGAGAGAGAGTGTGTGTGTGTGAGTGAGTGAGTGAGTGAGTGAGTGAGTGA